TTTTTTTTTTTCCCCCCCTTCCCCCCCCCCCCTCCCCCCCCCCCCCCCCCCCCCCCCCCCCCCGGGGCCCGCGCCCCGCGCCCGCCCCCCCCCCCCAATCGATCACTTGTTTTTGTGGGAAACCACCTAAGGCATTCATGTTACATCTTGCACAGCGGGCCATGAGTGAGAGCATACAGCGTCTTCATTCCTTCCTCCTTCCAAATTGAGGATTCACTGCCAGAATTAAAAATAGCAAAACAATAAACCAGATTGTATATTTGCTTTCTGAATCAAGGTGCTGTTATGTAGCCCAGGATAGCCTCAGGCTCTCAGCTCTCCTCTTGCTGGGAGGTGTTTACTACCCTGGCAAACTGTGAGAAACAATTGTAAGAGGAATTTTCTAACTTGCCTTAGCGAGCAGTCTGTGTTTCGCCTTATTAGATAAAACCACGTTTCTTCTTATCTTTTGGATCATTTCCTTCTCCTGCCTGCTTTTCTAATTGTGCCTCTGAGAAACTAGGGATCAAACCATGTCCCACTAAGATGTCTCTCCATGGGCATTCTGTCCAGGAAATACACAAGAAATCTGACCTCCCTGTCTAGTTGGTTTTTGACAGTTTGACACAAACCTAGACATTATTTGGGAAGAGTAACCTCAACGGAGGAAATGTCTCCATCAGACTGACTGTAACCTAATTAGGGCATTTCCTCTCTTAATGGGTGGCGTGAGAGGATTCAGCCCAGTGGGGACGGTGGTCTTGGAGAGAATAAGGAAGCCAACTGAATAAGCCACATGGGGAAACCAGGAAGCCATGTTCCTCCACGGGCTCTACATCATGCTTCCAGGTTCCTGCCTTGAGTTTCTGTCCCGATGGCATGGCCAAGTGTGGCCTGAGAGTGTGCAATGAAATAAGTTACTTTCCAGGGTGTTTTCTCAAGGGAATAGAAACTATGGCATTTCTCTGGGAAAGAACAAGCAGTCCCTCCCCTCTTGCAACATTCCTCTAACGGCAAAACTCTTCTTTCTTTTCCCTTTGTCTTTCTTTTGAGAAAAGATCTCATGGAGACAAAAAAAAAAAAAAAAAAACCTTACTAGGTAGCTCAGGCTGACTTGGAACCCCCAGGACTTCTCCTGACTCAGTTCCCTGGGTACTGAGGTGACCAAGGCCACCATGCCTTACCTGAAAGGTTGAGATGTAAGGGTGGATTCTTACTTTGTGCTCAGCCCCAGTCCATAGGTGGTCAGGAAGTGGGGTTTTTGTCTATAAACCAAGCGAGGTGGTGTGGCCACGGATATCACACCCTCAAAGGGCACAGTCTAAGAGGCCTTGTGTTAGTGATCATCTGATACTTGAAAGGAGGGGCCCTGTCCAGCAGTCTACTGGAGTGAATATTTTCATTTCAGGAAGGTCCTCCTCAGCGTGGATCTGTGAAGACTTTTGGCTCACTGAAAGAGCATTTGTGGAGCCTTCATTTCAGTAGCTGTAATTGACTTGGGTATCCAGGCCCCAGGCAACAAGGGAAGAGCTTTATTTCTCTTGCAAGAAAGAACCCTAGGGCCACAGTGAGCTGCCTTCCTAAAATAGGTCAGATTTTTGCAAGGCCACTCAGTGAGGCGATGTTTCTAGGGAGCGCAGGCCAGTGTTTTCCTGAAAAAATTAAATCAAGTATCGGTGGTTTCACAAGCCAGGGACAAGCATCCCATTGCCCTCTGGGTGAGCAGATGCTATTAAGTATTAGGTTCAACTAGACTTCCGAGCCACAGTGACCAAGACTTTGGCATGATTAGAATAGCAAGCCTCAGCTGCCCTCCCCAACCAATTCAAGTCCCGCTAGGCCCGGCACGTCTCTATGGCACTTACGGTGGAGTCTGACGTGTCTGGCAGGAATTGCTGTCATTATGTTAGCCCTGCAGACAGTACACAGTGTTCATGAAGTCAGGTGGGCTCCAATACCGTGACCCAGAAAGTGTGGCTTCTGTGAGCCTGTTCCAGAAGAGAACCATTCTGAGCTTAGAATTTCCTTTCCCCATCAAAAGAACAGAGCTCCAAACTTCAGTCACGACTCTCAAGAGTGACTTAGGACAGGAAAGAGGCAGTTAAGAGAAACAGCGCTCAGAGTAAGAAAAAAAAAAAAAAGGCTGCACTGGAAAACTGAAAAAAATAAAAGGAGGAATTTCTCCCAGGGCAAAAACTCAGACTAGACTGCAGCTTTGCAGAGGTCGTTAGACAAAACAAAAACCGCGTAGGAATAAAACTGCAAACGCCCAAATCACAGCGCTGTGCGGAAACAAACTTCCCCCTCAGTCCCCGGAGAGGAATGACTTTATAGAGAGGAGGATGGAACTGGATCGCTAAAGAAAAACAAAAATCCCAATCTGAGCACAGGCATCAGTATCTCTCGCATTCTCAGCTCCAGATTCTCCTCAGCTTACACCGGAACAAACGGGCAATTCCCATAGGTGCACACACACATGGCTTTTGGGGCTTGTAGTGCACAGACAGCCCAACTTTAAACAATTTGATTTGCAATTTTTGAGTTTCGTGATGCAAGAATGTACTTGTACTCTCTCCCTCTCATAACGTTTTTCGATAGTCAACACTTTGTAAGTTGGGGGTTCATGCTAGCGGTCTGCCTAGCTACAGGCTGATGCAGTCCTTAGGAAGACAGGCTAAGCTCTTACAGCCCACTGGTTAATTCTATTCTGTTTGTTATGATACGAGGTCTTACTCTGTATCCCTGATTGACCCAGATATCATTATGTAGCTCAGGTTGACCTTGAACTTGCAGTGATCCTCCTAGCTCTCTACCTTGACTACTGAGTTAACAACCACAAAGTGCCACACTCAACTTGGGTTTGCTTCCTGTCTTTAGAAATGAATTCCTAACTGCCAGGAAGAATTCATGGCACTGTGACCCGTAACAAGGGAAGACACATCAAGGTCACCGTGAGGGACCTGAGTCTCATCCCAGACATGGTTTTCACAACATCAGGACCTGAAGCACCTTGGGTGGTGGAAAAAGATGGGTGACTCTCTGACTCTTCAGGGACCTGCCTCAGCAGAGGCATGGCTCTGTCTTTGTGGGTCAGACAAAGGGGGGTCCTCTTGTCCCTCTGTTTGCACCTTCTTCCCAACCGCTCCCCCTCCACCCCACCCAGTACCCAATGCTTCTTTCCTGCTTTGCACCCCAAGCTTCCCCGACCTCTCCATCCTGTACCTTCTACACCCATCTCTCCTCTTCTGAACCTCAGGGCACCAGGCCCCTGAGAACCTGCTCAATAACCAGGCAAGGAAAGTGAATTGGTCTTGGCTGTTGGATCCTGTTGTCACACTGCCTGATCCAGCCACACTTCCCAGAGCGACTTTTTCATAACAGCTAAGATGGACAGAGTCCTATTGCATACCAGGTATTCTGCATTGCACACAACATGCATGAATTCTGTCAAAATGTAAATGTTTCTGTTAGCCTATGTCTGCACCAAGAAAACAGAGTCTCAGAGAGCTAGTTACCTTGTGTGGCCAAGGCCAGACCACCTCATTGGATCCAGAATTTGTACTTGTATTTGTATTTCCTACATACAAAGTAGGCTTCCCTTGTGCCCTCTCCGGGGCACAATCAAGGGATGGAGGAAGGGGCTCTGTTGACCTTCTGTGTTCCCATAACTTTTGCAAGGATTCGAGGCAAGTTTGTAACCTATACCCTGTGTGTTTTGCCGGAAGAGCCCCCAGCTCCCAGCAGTGGTTCGAGAGGAATTGGGGACAGATGATTAAGAACCATCGAATGGTTCCCTCCTTCCACAGCCCGTGCCTGCTGACTTCTCCCAGGGAGGATCCTTTTCTCTCCTAGATAAGCGGCTGGTTTTTAAGGATGCATTTTGGATGTTTTCTTTTCCCAGCTGTGGCAGCAACCGCTTGGATGCTTCAGATTCTTGGTGCTTTCAAAGTTGGGTTATGTCAACAAGGCGTCCTCTGAGGATATTAAAGAGCATGAAAGGGCTTTACTGAAGGATGAACGTGAAGTAATATCGTAGCTTCCAAATTTTTAACATTAGGGAACATTAATACTCAATACTCAATTACAGTACAAATGGCTTACTTTTATCCACAGGTTTCAGACAAAATGCAAAACTTTTTAAAGATTTATTTTATTTTAAAAATTATGTACATGTGTGTGCAAGTGTGTGTGCGGGTGCCCTTGGGATCCGGAAGAAGACATTGGATCTTTTGGAGCTGGAGTTGCAGGTGGCTGGGAGCCACCCAATGTCAATGCTGGGAAATGAACTTGGATCCTCCGCAAGAACAGCAAGTGCATTTGAACAGCAAGAACAACCGAGGCATTGCTCCAGTTCTCAAATGCAAATTCTTTTTAAAATAAAATGAATTTACATGTCACCCTCGCACAGCGGTCATGATCATCTCTGTCATTCCAATTTTCCTGTTAGTGCAGCCGGAGTAACCATGAACCCAAACATTTTAACATTCCCTGTGCTATTTAATTGGCAGGGCCTGGGGAGATGGCTTTACTTGACAAGTCTTTGCTGTGCAAGCCTGAAGACCTGAGTTCAGATCCCCAGCACGCATATAAAAAGACAGGGGCAGTGGTGCACGCCTGTAATGTTAACATGGGAGAGACAGAAGTGTCCTTGGGTTTGCTGGAAAGCCAGGCAAACGGAACGTGAGTGCCAGGTTTAGTAAAACACAATTTCTCAAAAACTAGAGAGAGATTGATGAAGACACCTAACATTGATCTCTGGCCTTCATACATATGCCTCTCTCTCTCTCTCTCTCTCTCTCTCTCTCTCTCTCTCTCCCTCCCTCCCTCCCTCCCTCCTCCATGTGCCCAGATTATTTAATCACCAAAACAGCCCCACATAACATAGGCCTTTAGTAATCATTCCAGCTCATCCATGTTATTTAGTTCCGCTGAGCCTCTGCACCCTGGGCTGCAGAATAAGATGGGAGTTTCCTGACTCATGACGTCACTGGGATGAAGCAGGAAACAATGGCTCAGTGTTTGAAACGAGGCTGAAGCTCAAATAGGGTTTGCTCTTGTTCCTGTTTTACATGTGAAGAACTCGAGACTCAAAGACATCGTCTTTTCTCAAGTCCCACAACCACTGCCAAAACCTCCCAGGGAAAACCATTAGCCACCTGGCTTTACTGCCTTTCCATACCTGTCGGCTCAAATATGTAAGTTAATCAATTGCTCAAATTATGTTTTGTTCTTTTGTACTATATTGTGTCAAGATCCACGTAGTCAGAACATAGAGTCCTGAAGATCAAAGCCAGTTAACCCATTCCTCACCCACCTCTTTGTAATACACAAGAGACTGGTAGATGGAGAGGCTGTGGACGAATTTCTGCAAACTGATATTCCCTCCAAACCAAACCATTCCCTCCTGGAGGCAGGAGGTCCTCATGGGATACAGGAAGTTAAGGACTGAGTCACCACATGCTTGGTGGGACTTCTCAGTGATGTTCTGCCTGCTGGTCACCCATGCTCCTGCAAATAATCCCAATAAATCCACGGGTTTATAAAGTTAGATTGTTTCTTTAGTCTGTCATTGGTGACCTATCTAGGGTGAAGACATTGGTTCACATCTTCCCAGCAAACATTCTCATGTGAAGAATGAATCCAAGCACTACTGTCAGGAACCCTCCTTAGAGGGAGCCCAAGTACTCCTGTGGTTTCTCAAACCAGTCTTGGGCCATTGCAATCTCTTCTTTATGATTGTTAATAATGACTACCTTAGTTAGGGTTGCTATTGCTGTGACGAAACACTGTTACCAAAGTGACTTGGGGGGAAAAAGGTTTATTTTCTCCATCACCGAGGGAAGACAGAATAGGAACTCAGACAGGGCAGGTACCTGGGAGCACTAACTGATGCAGTCAGTGACCACGGAGGGGTGCTGCTTACTAGCTTGCTCCTCACTACTTGCTCAGTCTGCTGTTTTATAGAACCAAGTACCACCACCCCAGGGATGGTCCTACCCACAATGGTCTGAACCCTCTCCTATCAGTCACCAATTAAGAAAATGCTCTACAGGCTTACCCACAGCCCAATCTTATGGAGAATTTTTTTTCAACTGAGGCTCCTTCCTCTGTGAAGTTGACACAAAACTAGCAAGAACAGTGTCCTTCCGTTCTCCAAATGTCTTGGTCTTACACTGCTGCTTTGCCCATGACAGCAGTATTGCTAACAGACAAGGGCAGTGTGTTCATGTCCCTTTGCTTCTTAATCCTCTTGGCAGCCGTGTCTTGCTCACTTAGGGTTCTTTTTCACCTTGTATTGTGGGTGGCTTTACATGGCAACCATTTCTCCTTCAAATGATTCTCCCGCCCACCCCATCTAGTCTTCCTTTCAGATGCTCAACTGGGGCACGAGGGTTGGATCTGAATGATTGGGAGTTCCATGCCCCAGTCTGCAGATCGGTGATCTCAACTTCTGGCTGGTTTCTCACTGTAGCTCCCCAAGAGCACAGAGCATAGGTCTGGGTAGTCTGGACCTCTCAGAGTTACAATGTAACGCTTGGAAAATGTCAGCTGCCTGTTAGTCACATTATCCGCCCTTTGTGGGGGCAGTATTAAGAGATCATAAAAGAGTCCAGCCCACAGGGCAAATATCCTTCCTAGCTTTATTAAAGTTGTCCTTGTTAGTCACCATGCCCCTTAAGCATGTCCGTGCACAATGATGCTGGTGCACGTTGTTGAGGAACAGGGCTGAAGGCTGACTTCCTGTGTTACTAAAGGGACAGCTATCCGCCTGATTTGAGAACAGCCATGCCAGCTCCCCAGTACCAAGCCCTCGGGGACTCCACTGCTGCTGCCTCATGACCTTCTTCTGACCTCTAAAAGTAGCTCCTGCATCTCAGCACCCTTAAGTTCTTCCCTAGATCCTAAAGGGATCCTAAGACAATGCTTCCCCACCCTGCCTACTTCCCAGGGCAGCTGGGGCTCATCTTTCTGCAGTCTGCTGAGCCGCCTCTCCTAGAACGCATGGCTCTCTCAGTTATGGTGTTGGTGATGCGGACCCTGGTAAGCACAGGGAGCAGATGTCAGTTTCGCCTTTCTGACTGCCCTTCTCTCAGTTCCTTTGCAGAAAGCCACCCCATCCCAGATCACGTGATTAGATGGGGTTGGCCCTTCACCCTCCAGTCTTTGGTACCCACAGAAGTCTTATCCATCAGTCATAGTGAGCCCACGGATAGCCACATGCCTCAGGTGCCAAAGAGAAATGATGCTGAGATTTGAACTGGGGTGAGTGGGAAAGAGCTGCCCTCCCCTTGAAGGCTGAGAAGTGAGCAGGTGCTGCTGGAGGCCATCTTTGTTCGCTGGAGATGTAGCCAACTCAGTGGCAAGAGGGCCTGACAAATGGAAGAAACAGTTCTGATAACAGAGTTCTGGCATCTAATCTCTCTGTGCTTCCAGCCGGTCTGTGGGGCTTAGCAAGCCAACCAGAGCCTCTTTTACGCTCATCCTGCTTCATGTTTCTGCCATTTTAATAAAAGGAAGTCCCAGTTAAAGCGACAAGAAAATGTGTTATCCTTCGCAGAAGGGCTGCCTTTTAACACTAGGTAAGTCTTTAGCCCCTCCAAAGATGGATGTGTATGGCAGAGCTCCTGGTGGGGTGGTGCAGCCATCCCGATTAGGGTCAGACACCCCACCACCACGCCTTCTCAGCTTGCTGGCCAATTGTAGGATTCCTCATAAACTCCATTGTGTATAGGCATCACATTTTCATTTGAAATGAGCTAGAAACTAAAGATGTTCAAATCCCACCCTCCAATGAGCACCTCATCTGCCTCGTCCTGAGATTGGCCCAGATCAAAGATTGTCCCCATTGACCCAAAGAAGTCCCTGGCTTGGATCCAGCCCTGAGGTGGTCCCTGGGGGAGCACCGTTCAGAGTGCTTCTCCCAATAGCTTCAGCTCCGATACTGCAGTTAGAATTAGGAGCATCACCAGGAGAGGGTCAGCTGAGCTGAAAGCATGTCCTAGAAATGCCATCTCTCATCCCGCCTCCCAGTACAGCCTTCTCACCCTGCATTTCAGACAAACACTGCCCATGGCAGCAAGAATTCAGCTTTTTCTTTATTCTTTTATTTTTTATTTAAAGTTAAAATGGATTTTCAGGTATAAGATGCTAAATTCTGAGGATCTAATGTAGAGGGTGATCATAGCTAGCAATAGTAGATACTAACAATTCGCTAAATGATTAGGTCTTCAATGTTCTTACCATCCCCAACATAAAGGTGAAGAGTGTTAACTACCCTAACTGTGATCATTTCACAACATGCACACACATCAAATCACATCGTACCACCAGTTCATAAAAACAAACGTGTGCTCACACCTAACAAAGCAAAGGAAAGAAAAGGATAGACACATTGTCAGCCGTGTACGAGTAAGTAAATAAGCTGGCTGCAGAGATATGTTTGCTGACTGACTAGTCTTTGTAGATACACAGCTAGATGCTGTTCTCTTCACCATGACGAAACATCTGGTAGAAGCAGCTTATGGAGAAAAGGGTTTATTTGGGTTTGTTTCGAGGGTCAGAAGGCTGGCGGGAATGTAAAGGGACCGGCCACATAGCATCCACAGTCCAGAAGCAGAGAGCGCTGAGCATCCCACTTGTCCCCTCCTTTAAAAATGAGGCTAATAATTTATTACTGTTATTATTATTGTTGATTTATTTAGTTTTATTTTATGTGCATATATATGTGCCTGTATGTAAGTATGTATATGCTCCACATGTGTGACTAAGTGCCCTCAGAGATTAGATAAGGTGTCAGATTCCCTGGAACTGGAGTTACAGATGGTTGTGAGAGGCCTGCTGTGGGTGCTGGGAACCGAATCCCCACCCATGGCAGAAGCAGTGTTTTTAGCAACTGAGATGTTTTTCCAGTCTCCTGACCTCTCGCTTTTTAATCAGTGTGAGATCCAGCCCAGGGATGGGAGTCTCCCTCACCCAGATTAGATCTTCCCATCTTAGTCAGACCTTCCTGGAAATACCCCTATACACACCCAGCAAGGCATTTCCTAGGTGATTTTAAATCTCCTCAAGTAGACAGTGATGATTTACTATCGCAATATAGAGTGCATGTGTATGTGCTCATACATGCTGAGTATTTATACATACATACTCATGTATTGAATAGATCCAATCTAGGGATAAACATGAAAGTTCTCTCTCAGCAGGAAGGGAAAATAGAACGGGGATGGAGGGAGCATCAATGATTCAGTCACATACCAGATCAATTAAAACCTTAAACCAGGAACAGCAGCCTGGAGGGTAGGACTCCTAACAGCCTCTTGGCGGATGCGGCCCACGGAGGATGAGGGAAGAGAAAGGATCAGATCTCCACGGATCCAAAGGCTTTTCCCTTTGGGAATTATTTTATGTTTGTTCGTGGATCTCACCGAGTTCAGGCCCAGCCCAGAGCTGTAGGATTGCGGGAAGGCAGCCAACATAGCTCTGAAAACAGCATCCCCGTGTGATGCTTTCAGGTGATACTAGGGAAGCCTAAGTGGGAAAGTAACCTTCAGTTTTCCAAGTTCAGCCCCAGCCCAGCAGGGGAGCTTGTGAGAGCTCATTGCAGCTTTGAGAATTTCTAAATGAGAGAACTGTGCTCTCAGACTCCCTCCCTGGCAATTGGCTCTCTCTGGGAAGGCCTGTCCTGGGGGAAGGGAGGCCATATAATCCCACCCTTCTGGCCTTTCTGGTGTGAGCTGAGATCCTAAGAGATGGAAGATCTGGCCTTTCTGGTGTGAGCTGAGATCCTAAGAGATGGAAGACAGAAATAAAGGAGCATAGAGGGAGCTCACAGGTACAGAACCGGAAGTATGGAAGGTACCTCAGTTGCTGTGGCTGGAATGTGAAGTCCCCCATCAGCGCATGCATTGGGACACCTGCTCACCATCTTGTTGTGCTCTTTTGGGGGACTGGGGAAACTTTGTGAGAAAGTGAGGATGATGCTCATCTCTGGCTCATGCCCTGAGCTCTTTGCTTCCTCATCGATGAAGGTGTAACAAGCCAGGCAGAGTCTTCCACGGCCACAGCTGCTGTGCCTTTCCCACCATGATGGACTAAAGCCACAAGCCAAATTAGATCTGTCCTCAAAGCACTTCTGTCCGTTCTTTCGTCACAGTGGCAAGGAATGAGCAAAATGAAGATCTAGACTAGTCAGGGATGCCTAGACAGGCAGGTAAGTACACAAGTGGCAATGATTGTGTAAGTAGGCAGGTGACATGTAGGTAGTCAGATAAGTGATAGATGCAGGTAGATAGGAATATAGATATATAGAGGGCAAATGATGAATAGATGGCGAGTGGATGATCTATACATGGGTAGGTAGATACATAGACAACAGATGATAGATACGCAGACAGAAAGTAAATAGTTTATGATACACAATTGGCTCACATAATTATGGAGGCTGAAGTGCCCCATGGTCCATTGCATTTGAGCCAGAGGTTCAGGAAAGACAGTGTTGTAATGAGGCCACACCCAAAGGCCCCGAAGCCAGGAGCTGGGCTGTCCACCTCTGTTCTGATCAGAAATGGGTTGGCCGATGCCATGTGTGCTGGATGATGCCATGTGTGCTGGATGATGCTGTGTGTGCTGGATGATGCCGTGTGTGCTGGATGATGCCGTGTGTGCTGGATGATGCCATGCGTGCTGGATGATGCCGTGCGTGCTGGATGATGCCATGCGTGCTGGATGATGCCATGCGTGCTGGATGATGCCGTGTGTGCTGGATGATGCCATGCGTGCTGGATGATGCCATGCATGCTGGATGATGCCGTGTGTGCTGGATGATGCCATGCGAGCCAGTGAGAGCGTATCTTCTTCACTCGGTCTATTGACACACGTGCTAATCTTCTCTGGAAATACCTTCATGGACATCCTGCTTTGTGAGCTGCATGGGCAGCTGTATCAGTTGATAGACAAATCGACGATCACAGTGCCCATCAAACCGCCACAAAATAGTACAAACTGCACATTGCTGGGCTCAACCACTACAGGAAGATGAAGCAGCCTAAAAGACAATGAGTGTTTCTTTGAAGATTTACACCATCATCTCCCCCCCCACCATAACATCCCCCATCACCTCCCCATGCCATCCTTCCTTCATTACCTCCATTCTGCAAACACCTCTCCCATCTCCTCCCATCTCCTCCCATCTCCTCCCTGCAGGCATACCTCCTCCCTCAGTTTCCCTAGGCGTACCCTCCCACCTTCACTCCTGCCAACACCACCCTTGTCCCCCTCCTCTGCTGTCACTCCTGACTCCATCGCCACCACCCCATGCATCCTTGGCTACCCCGCATAAAGCTGGCTAGTTTTATGTCAACCCGAAACCAGATAGAAAGTGTGAACTGACCTCACCAGACTGGCCCATGGGCAAGTTTGTGTTGTGTTTTCTTGACTGATGACTGTGTGGGAGGGCCCCGCTCACTGTGGGCGGCGACACCTGTGATCTGGTGGTCCTGGCTGCCATAAAAAAGAAGGCTGAGCAAATCTCACAGGACAAGACAGTAGCGGCGGTCTTCCGTGGTCTTTTTCTCATTTCCTGCCTCCAGGTTCCTGGCCTGATGTCCGTCAGCAGTGGACTGTGCTGTGGAACGGTAAGCTAAAAATAAAGCCTTTCTTCCCCAAGTTGTTCTGGTTACATTTATCACAGCCTAACTAAGACATCGCACATACAGCTTAACTCTCCATGGCTGGGGCCACCTGCCTTCTGAGCACAGGTGGATGAAGGTTTTCTTTCTGGGAAAAGGTTTTCTTTTCTGTTTGAAAGACTAAATCATCTTTAATCTGGTTTGGGCAGGAGCACTGTGGATTAGAAGGTAAGACTGGCATTGGCGTTGAATGGACTTGTGTCCAATGGAGTGAAGAAAATCCAGCTACAGGCAGAAAAAAAGATAAAAGACTTATTAGTAAAAACATCCTAATAGCTAATTATTAAGTTCTAGCTATGCATCCGCACAGCATCCACAAGAATGGATCCATCCATATGATGGGAGGAGAAAAATGGCTCCTGCAACTTGTCCTCTGACCTCTACAGGGTTCAACACACACACACACGCATGCACACACACACACACACACACACACACGCAATGTGTTTTCAAGGAGATTAATCACATGTGGCTCCTACAGGGAAAAAACTAGTGACTGTCATCTAAGATGCCAAATATTCAAGTCTAAAGTGATTTAATAGCTATGAAGTCATGTATTTGGAAAGGATGCCGTCAGGGGCCAGCCCTTGGGTCAAACCCAGAGCTGAGTGCTGTCCACAAGGCCATGGAAAAGCAAGCTAAGTTGGAAAGGACTGGACAGATTGCTGTGGGGGTTCCTGCTGTCCTAAAACACTTGCCTTAATCTTCCACTGAATGCCCTCTCCCCCTTTTAAGAATGGTGCTGTGTATTCAGTAGCATCTCCCACTGCTCACTGCTGGTACAGAAAGAAGGGATTGAATAGGTGGGTTAGCCTGGCACCCCAAATTCCTGCTACACACACA